AACAACAACAACAACCCATTTTTGGTCAAAGGATATTTAGCCACCTGCACTACTTCTATTTTTATCAGTTTTATACTAATTTATGCAATGCTTTTGATAAGAAATCTATATCTATCTATCTATAAATATAATAAAAGTCAGTGTTTGTATGCGGAGGGAGGGGTGGTTGTGTATGTGGCAGCTTTCTGATTGGCTGCCACTTTCACAGGCCACTGTGACCTGCACAGGTAACAGACCTGGACCAAGCTTGGCACACATAACCCCCATTGACCCCCTTTACGTCCTGGTGCAGTTTGGGGGAGAGTGGACCATGGATGATGGGATTTGCAGTACTTTCAATCGCTCCAGCTCCCACAGACCACAGAAATGCCCGCCAATGATGGAACTGTGCAAATTTGGCACACAGAACCCCCATGATCCCCTTTACGTCCTGGTGTGGTTTGGGGGAGGGTGGACCACGGATGATGGGATTTGCAGTACTTTTAATTGCTCCAGCGCCTACAGACCACTGCAATGCCCACCAATGATGGAACTGGGCCAGATTTGGCACACAAAACCCCCATGACCCACTTGACATCCTGGTATGGTTTGGGCAGAGAACGTGCCATGGATGATGGGACTTGGAATACCTTCACTCATTTCGTGAGACCATTAGAACTAGCATGAATGATGGACCTGGACCAAACTTAACACACATAACCCTCATGAACCCTCTCACATCCTGGTGAAGTTTGGGGGAGGATGGACCACGGACGATGGAATTTGCAGTACCTTCACACGACTCACTTCCCACGGAACACTGCGGCCCCCACAAACCACAGACCAGGACCAAACTTGGCACACAGAGCCCCCATAACCCAGTCTACACCCTGGTGCACTTTGGAGGAGGATGGACCATGGAGGATGGGACTTGCAGTACTTTCCCTCAATTCCTGAGATCACTGCGAACCTCATCTAATGACTGATCAAGACCAAACTTGGCACACAGAGCCCCCATGACCCATACTACACCCTGGTGCACTTTGGAAGAGGATGGACCATGGAGGATGGGATATGCAGTACCTACACTCACTTCCAAAGACCATGGTGACACTCACCAATGACTGATCAAGACCAAACTTGGCACACAGAGCCCCCATGACCCACTCTACATCCTGATGAGGTTTGGAGGAGGATGAACCATGGATGATGGGACTTGCAGTACATTCCCTCAATTCCTGAGATCACTGCGACCCTCATCCAATGACTGATCAAGACCAAACTTGGCACAGAGGGCCCCCATTACCCACACTACACCCTGGTGCGCTTTGGAGGAGGATGGACCATGGAGGATGGGATATGCAGTACCTCCACTCACTTTCAGAGACCATGGCGACATTCACCAATGAGTGATCAAGCTCTCATGACTTCCTCTACATCCTGGTGAAGTTTGGAGAAAAATGGACCATGGACGATGGGACTTACATAGGGGAGACGAAACTTGATGCATAGACAGACAGACTTTGATCTTCTCAAATAACCTGGGCACCGCTGGGTCCCCAAGGTAGTAAATAAATAAAACCACAATCGGCGGCAACAATGCATTGTGATGCAAGCCCATGTTTCCATACCGATGTGATAAGAGCATTCTTCATCCCTCGAGGCCAGGTCACAACTAAGAGGCCAAGGGAATGAGGTAGCATTCATAGCAACAGACCGCTTAATAGTTTTGGTATCCATCCAGAGAAGGTTGCATGGCTCTGAGTTGCCCAAAGCCAGCCTAAAGAACTGCCAACCACAACATTTGACGGGGAGTGTGAAAAAGCCTTCTCCAACTGTGCAGCAGAAAAAGCCGAAATGCAAGTCCAGAAAATCCATCCTAACTTTGGCATTTCAAGTGGCGGCTTCGTCACAACAATGCTGCCAAATCAGGAAACCTTTAGAGAGAGGGAAGGCAACTGGTCTCCAAATAGAAATCCGATCTGGCTTGTACAATTATGGCTGGGTTGTAACATTACACCAGTAGCGAGCGACTGTCGACTAGGCACATTATTAACCCGTCCCTGCAAAAATGTTTTACTTCAATAGTCACAAGATTTTTGGCCATTTCAGGGGTGAATTTACGGATTCAGCAGAGGCAAAAATCAAATGTTTGGGGGGAATTAGTTTCAGATCTGAGCTCCCACTGTTAGCCCCAGCTCCTGCCAACCTAGCAGTTCGAAAACATGCAAACGTGAGTTAATGGAGTTCTGAAGGTAAGGGCGCTCCATGCAGTCATGCTGGCCACATGACCTTGGAGGTGTCTGTGGACAATGCCAGCTCTTCAGCTTAGAAATGGAGATGAGCATCACCTATTCCCAGAGTCAGACACAACTGGACTTAATGTCAGGAGAAAACCTTTACCTTTACTAATAGTATTATACAATTATATTATTGTGGAGCCCCCGGTGGTGCAGTGGGTTAAACCCCTGTGCCGGCAGGACTGAAGACTGACAGGTCGCAGGTTTGAATCCAGGGAGAGGCGGATGAGCTCCCTCTATCAGCTCCAGCTCCTCATGCGGGGACATGAGAGAAGCCTCCCAAAAGGATGATAAAAACATCAAATCATCCAGGCGTCCCCTGGGCAACATCCCTGCAGACGGCCAATTCTCTCACACCAGGAGCGACTTGCTCCTGACACGATTATAATAATAATAATAATAATAATAATAATATATTATTATTATTATTATTATTACTACTACTACTACTATATATTACTTTATTGTAGTACTAGCCATCCCCTGCCACGCGTTGCTGTGGCCCAAAGAGCATTCTGAACCCCACCAACGTTGGAATCTGTGTGGGAGGTTTGGCCCAATTCTATCGTTGGTGGGGTTCGGAATGCTCTGTGATTGTAGGTGAACTACAAATCCCAGCAACTACAACTCTCAAATGTCAAGATTCTGTTTTCCCAAACTCCACCAGTGTTCACATTTGGGCAAATTGAGGGTTCGTGCCAAGTTTGGTCCAGATCCATCATTGTTTGAGTCCAAAGTGCCCTCTGGATGTAGGTGAACTACAACTCCAAAACCAAAGGACACTGCCCACTAAACTCTTCCAGTATTTTCTGTTGATTATGGGTGAACTGTGTTCCAAGTTTGGGTCAATTCCAACGTTGGAGGGGTTCAGAATGCTCTTTGATTAAAGGTGAACTATAAATCCCAGCAACTACAACTCCCAAATGACAAAAGCAATTCAGGGGTGTGGCTTATTCCTGCATGCAGAAGGGGTTTGCATTAGGAGGTCCATTGGGATCCGGTTCCATCTCCACTGGCAATAGGATGCTTTGGTACCTCTGGCCCTCCAACTCCCAGAAGCCCTAGCCAGCTGTTCCAATACTCAGGAATTCTGGAAGCTGTAGTCCAAAACTGTAGGGCCGCAGGATGGAAGGCAAGTTTGTGAAACAGATTGGAAGGGCAGCTGTCAGGACCGGGTTGTGGCGCAGCTGGTTGGGAGTCAGCTGCATTAAAATCACTACTGACCGAAAGGTCATGAGTTCGAAGCCAGCCTGGGTCAGAGTAAGCTCTCGACCATTTGTCTAGCTTGCTGTCGACCTTTGCAACTCGAAAAACAGTCGCATCTGTCAAATAGGAAATTTAGGTACCGCTTATGCGTGAAGGCTAATTTAACTAATATGATGCCATAAAAATCTCCAGCAGCGTGCAAAAGAATGAGGAAGTACTCTATTGGTGTCACAAGTGGACGGTGAAGCAACAACTCCCCCGGTGGCCAGAATTCAAAGCATACCCTCATGAAGCTGGAAAGTTAAATAGCCTCTGTGTGTCTGTCTATATATGTTGCGTGTCTATGGCTTTGAATGTTTGCCATGTATATGTGCATTGTGATCCACCCTGAGTCCCCTGCGGAGTGAGAAGGGCGGAATATAAATGCTGCAAATAAATAAATAAATACTAAATAAATAAATAAATAAATAAATAAGAACAAGCCCTATGAGGAGCGGCTTAAGGAGCTGGGCATGTTTAGCCTGAAGAAGAGAAGGCTGAGAGGAGACATGATAGCCATGTATAAATATGTGAGAGGAAGCCACAGGGAGGAGGGAGCAAGCTTGTTTTCTGCTTCCTTGGAGACTAGGACAAGGAACAATGGCTTCAAACTACAAGAGAGGAGATTCCATCTGAACATGAGGAACAACTTCCTGACTGTGAGAGCCGTTCAGCAGTGGAACTCTCTGCCCCGGAGTGTGGTGGAGGCTCCTTCTTTGGAAGCTTTTAAACAGAGGCTGGATGGCCATCTGTCAGGGGTGATTTGAATGCAATATTCCTGCTTCTTGGAAAGGGGTTAGACTGGATGGCCCACTCTTTGATTCTATAATTCTATGATTCTACTAACATTGAGGCCTTTCTCCCTCTGAGGGTTCTCTCAGACTGAGGCCTCTCTCACACTGAAGCCTTTCTCCCACAGAGGCTTCTCTCACACTGAGGCCTCTCTCACTGAGGTCTATTAACATTGAGGGCTCTCTCAGACTGAGAGCTCCTAAACTACAGACACACCTGCTTATATTGAACTGCAGCTTTTGCTGACTTGTGTGACTATGGCACTGAATGTTTACCATGTCTATGCGCATTGTGAGTCCCATGCGGGGTGAGAAGGGCGGATTATAAATGCTGTAAATAAATAAATAAATACTAACATTGAGGCCTCTCTCACTATGAGGGTTCTCTCACTCTGAGGCCTCTCTCCCACAGAGGCTTCTCACATACTGAGGCCTGTAAATAAATAAATTTTAGAATAATGCATTACTGCATGAAATGGGTTGGACTGGATGTCCTCTTGAGACCCCCACTGGAACTCTGTAATATGCTGAAGGGGCTTAATGAGATTTCAAGAGTTTGTTGTTCGCTCTTTCCTACGCCTCTTAAAAACAAGAAAAAAAGACAGGCGACCAAGCTTTGACTCATCCGGCTCATAATAGGCGGGCGATGCCTGCCTGCCTTCGCCTGTACAGCTGTCTCTTAGTAACCCTGTACACCGTGCCTGGTGAGCATGGAAACACACGGAGAAGGAGGAGCAAAGAGGTGGAGAATGGAGATCAGCTGTCAGTTGCTCGGCTTGCCCCCTCCTCCAACCACAAGCCACATTCCCCAAGGCTCAGTAAGTGGCCGGAGACTTCCTTCCCATTCATAAGCCAAGCCGGGACAGTCCGTTTCCCCAGCGAGAAGAGAAGGGCCAAGGACCTGGGAGCTCCTCCAGCACCTCCAAAGGAAAGGTGAGCCCCAAAAAGGAACTTCATGGGGATGGAGTGCAGAATAGGGTCACTTTGGGAAGCTGGGGAGGAAGGAATGGTGCAAGCAGACTCTCGGAAACAGAGAGAGGATTTCAGGGCAAGTACTTACTTACTTAGGCGATCCCTCGTTGTCCGAGTAGGACTGTCTTCCAAGATTGGTGGGTCTGTAGGTGATTCTTGACCTGCATGTTCTCCCGCATCCAGGCGGAAAGCAGTCCCGGTCACCGCTGGCTTGACGCGCCTTCCTCTTGGCACATTTCTCTCTTTCACTCTCTATTCATGCCTCTTCGAATTCTACAGCACTGCTAGTCACAGCTGACCTCCAGCTGGAGCACTCAAGGACCAGGGCTTCCCAGTTCTCAGTGTCTATGCCACAGTTTTTAAGGTTGGCTTTGAGCCCATCTTTCCATCTCTTTTCCTGCCCAACAACATTCCGTTTTCCGTTCTTGAGTTCGGAATAGAGCAACGGTGCTCGGGCATTCGGACAATGTGGCTGGTCCAGCGGAGTTGATGGCGGAGGACCATCGCTTCAGTGCTGGTGGTCTTTGCTTCTTCTAGCACGCTGATGTTTGTCTGCTTGTCTTCCCAAGAGATTTGAAGGATTTTCCGGAGGCAGTGCTGATGGAATCATGTTGCATGTGAAGTCTGTAGACAATCCACGTTTTGCAGGCACATAGCAGGGTTGGAAAGACAACAGCTTTATAAACAAGCAACTTGGTCTCCCAATGGATGTCCCAGTCCTCAAATTTGTGGAGAAGGTGGCTGCCAAGGGAGCGGACAGTCCAGCGGAGTTGATGGCAGAGGACCATTGCTTCAATGCTGGTAGTCTCTGCTTCTTCCAGCACGCTGACGTTTGTCTGCTTGTCTTTCTAAGAGATTTACAGGATTTTGCGAAGGCAAAACTGATGGAATCATGTTGCATGTGACGTCTGTAGACAGTCCATGTCTCGCAGGCGTATAGCAGGGTTGGAAGGACAATAGCTTTATAAACAGGCACCTTGGTCTCCCAATAGATGTCCCAGTCCTCAAACTTGTGGAGAAGGTGGCTGCCAAGGGAGCGGACAGTCCAGCGGAGTTGATGGCGGAGGACCATTGCTTCAATGCTGGTGGTCTTTGCTTCTTCTTCCCGCACGCTGATGTTTGTCTGCTTGTCTTCCTAAGAGATTTACAGGATTTTGCGAAGGCAAAGCTGATGGAATCATGTTGCATGTGACGTCTGTAGACAGTCCCTGTCTCGCAGGCTTATAGCAGAGTTGAGAGGACAATGGATTTCTAAACAAGCACCTTGGTCTCCTTACGGATGTCCCGGTCCTCAAACACTCTCTGCTTCATTTGAAAAAAAGCTGCACTCGCAGAGCTCAGGCGGTGTTGTATTTCAGTGTCAATTTTTACTTTTGTGGAGAGGTGGCTGCCAAGAGAGCGACCAGTCCAGCAGAGTTGATGGCAGAGGACCATCGCTTCCATGCTCGTGGTCTTTGATGATGTTTGTCCGCTTGTCTTCTCAAGAGACTTGCAGGATTTTTCGGAGGCAGCACTGATGGAAATGTTCCAGGAGTTGCATGTGACGTCTGTAGATAGTCCATGTCTCGCAGGCTTATAGCAGGGTTGGAAGGACAATAGCTTTATAAACAAGCCCCTTGGTCTCCCGGATGTCCCGGTCCTCAAACACTCTCTGCTTCATTCGGGAAAATGCTGCACTCGCAGAGCTCAGGCAGTGTCAATGTTGACTTTTGTGGAGAGGTGGCTGCCAAGGGAGCGGCCAGTCCAGCGGAGTTGATGGCGGAGGACCATCACTTCCATGCTCGTGGTCTTTGCTGATGTTTGTCCGCTTGTCTTCCCAAGAGGAGTTGCATGTGACGTTTATAGATAGTCCATGTCTCGCAGGCTTATAGGAGGGTTGGAAGGACAATAGCTTTATAAACAGGGTTGGAAGGACAGGGTTAGAAGGACAATAGCCCCTTGGTCTTCCAACGGATGTCCAGGTCCGCAAACACTCTCTGCTTCATTCGGAAAAATGCTGCACTCGCAGAGCTCAGGTGGTGTTGTATTTCAGTGTCAATGTTGACTTTTGTGGAGAGGTTTCCGCCAAGGGAGCGGAAATGGTCCAGGTCCTCAAAGGGATGTCCAGGTCCTCAAACACTCTCTGCTTCATTCGGAAAAATGTTGCACTCGCAGAGCTCAGGTGGTGTTGTATTTCAGTGTCAATGTTGATTTTTGTGGAAAGGTTTCCACCAAGGGAGCAGAAATGGTCCAGGTCCTCAAACGGATGTCCAGGTCCTCAAACACTCTCTGCTTCATTCGGAAAAATGCTGCACTCGCAGAGCTCAGGCGGTGTTGTATTTCAGTGTCAGTGTTTAGTTTTGTAGAGCGAGGTCACTGCCAAGAGAGTGCAAATGGTCAATATTTTCTAATGTTACACAATGAAGCTGTATCTCTGGCATTGTAGAGGGATTGGATGGTGACTGCTGGAAGAACACTTTGGTTTTCTCAATGTTCAATGACAGGACAAGCTTCTCGTATGCTTCTGCGAACGTGTTTAGAGTGGGTTGGCGCAACAAAGGATGTGAGGATGCATATAGGGACAAAGCTTCCCACTGGAGTCTCAGGGGCTTGTGAGAGTGTATTTGCAAGAAGCAGAAGCAACTCCATGCTGATAGAGAGAGGGAAAGCACTGATGGATTTAGCAGAGTGAGAGAGCGTTCGTCTCTTGTGCCGAATTCTGTGTTTTGTGTCCAAGAGGTTCCACTGTCAGCCTGGTTGTTGTTATTGACTTTGACAAGGAGGAAAAATGGTTCGTTCAGAACAGAACAGTTATTGGGTTTCTGAAGGTTGTGAGCTACTTTGGGGCCTCGGCTTCCAGAGATAAATGTCTAGACAATCTATATATGCAAACACACATATATACACATGTACACACACATATATATGGAGGCGCAGTGGGTTAAACCCCTGTGCCGGCAGGACTGAAGACCAACAGGTCACAGGTTCGAATTCGAGGAGAGGCGGATGAGCTCCCTCTATCAACTCCAGCTCCTCATGCGGGGACATGAGAGAAGCCTCCCACAAGGATGATAAAAACATTAAATCATCCGGGCGTCCCCTAGGCAACATCCTTGCAGACGGCCAATTCTCTCACACCAGAAGCGACTTGCAGTTTCTCAAGTGGCTCCTGACACGACAAACCCCCCCCCCCCCAAAACCCACATATATTCATATATACACACACAAAACATATATACACAGACTGGGCCACAGCAACGCATGGCAGGAGATGGATAGTATCTATATAAATAAAAATGTAGTGTCCTTTGTAGGATTAAAATAACTCAAAAACCACTGGACGAATTGACACCAAATTTGGACACTACACCTCTCAGGCCAATGAGTGACCATTGCTCATAAAAACACTGAAAAACACAACAAAAGGGACGTTAAAAGCCAAAACACAAAAAATATATTATGACACATGCACAAAACCACATATATACACAAACACACATATACACAAATATACACACATACATATATGCAAATATATACACACAAAAACATATATACAGACTGGGCCACAGCAACATACGGCAGGGGACGGCTAGTATCTATATACCGTATATACTTGAGTATAAGCCGACCCGAATATAAGCCGAGGCACCTAATTTTACCACAAAAAATTGGGAAAATGGATTGACTCGAGTATAAGTCGAGGGTGGGAAATGCAGCCGCTACTGGTAAATTCCAAAATAAAAATAGATATCAATAAAATTGCATTAATTGAGGCATCAGGAGGTGAAATGTTTTTGACTAAAACTATGTTAAGATAAGACTGTCCTCTGATTAAAACATTATTCTAACCTTCTTCAGTGTAAATGTGTTTACATATCCTTCCAATAATAATAGAGTAAAATAATAAATGTAATAATAACAACAATAAAGGATAAAATAATAAATGTAATAATAGAGTAAAATGATTAATGTAATAATAATAATAATAATAACAATAAAGTAAAATAATAAAAAACCTTGACTCAAGTATAAGCCGAGGGAGACTTTTTCAGCCTCAAAAAAGGACTGAAAAGCTAGGCTTATACTCAAGTATATACAGTAAATAAACATATAGTGTACGTTTGTGGGATTAACATAATTGAAAAACCACTGGATGACTGGACACCAAATTTGGACACAATACACCTCTCGGGCCAATGAGTGATCATCACTCATAAAAACACTGAAAAACACAGTGGAAGGGACTTAAAAAGCCAAAAAAAAACTACATTACAATGCATATGCAAAACTACATATATATATACGCAAACAAACATATGAACACATATGCACAAAAATATATACACACATATATAACATAACTCAAAACCCACTAGACAAATTGATACCTCTCCTTCCTTCCTTCTCTTCCTCTTCCCTTCCTTCCCCCGTTTTCTTTCCCTTTTGCTTTCTCTCCTTCCTTCGTTCTCTACCTATTCTTGGACTACAACTCCCAGCAGTCCTCCTGATCCATCTACCTACCTACTTATCTATCTCTATCTAATCTATCTATCTGGAGGATTGCTGGGAGTTGTAGTCTGGGAATAGGAAATTGGAACTATGCAGGGATTGGGATGCTCTCAATGAAATCCAAGGAGAAAACTGCTTGCATCTTGGAAGCAGTGCATTTGGATCCTCCTCCTCTCCTAAAGGGCCTGGTCTAGGGGATGCTGGGAGTTGTAGTCCAGAAGAGAGTGTGGATATGCTATTCTGTATTTTGTTTGCCGGGGGAGTCGTTTTTGCGCATGTGCTGTAGCGTCTTTTTGATTTTTTGGCTTTTTAAGTCCCTTTCGCTGTGTTTTGCTGAGTGGTGGTCACTCGTTGCCCTGATAGGTGTCTTGTGTCCAAATTTTGTGTCAATCCGTCCAGTGATTTTAGAGTTATGTTATGTTAGAGTCACCTACGATCAAAGAGAATTCTGAACTCCACCAATGATAGAA